ATTCTGAGATTTTGAAATTCTGAAATTCTGAAATTCTGAAATTCTGAAATTCTGAAATTCTGAAATTCTGAAATTCTGAAATTCTGAAATTCTGAAATTCTGAAATTCTGAAATTCTGAAATTCTGAAATTCTGAAATTCTGAAATTCTGAAATTCTGAAATTCTGAAATTCTGAAATTCTGAAATTCTGAAATTCTGAAATTCTGAAATTTTGAAATTCTGAGATTTTGAGATTCTGAGATTCTGAGATTTTGAGATTTTGAGATTCTGAGATTCTGAGATTCTGAGATTCTCGAATTCTGAGATTCTCGAATTCTGAGATTCTCGAATTCTGAGATTCTCGAATTCTGAAATTCTGAGATTATGAAATTCTGAGATTTTGAGATTCTGAGATTCTGAGATTCTGAGATTCTGAAATTCTGCGATTCTGAGATTCTGAGATTCTGAGATTCTGAGATTCTGAGATTCTGAGATTCTCGAATTCTGAAACTCTGAGATTCTGAAATCTTGGAATCCTGAGATTCTAAGATTCTGAAACTCTGAGATTCTGAAATCTTGGAATCCTGAGATTCTAAGATTCTGAGAATCTGAGATTCTGAATGTTTTCTGTAATTATAAAAGCATTTCTTTTCAAAAATTCCGCCTTTATTTTTATATTAAAATTCAAAATGTATTTTCTAATATCAGTATACTGTACAGCAAAGAAAAAGAATTAAATGACATAAAAAATTAGATCAAAATAGATTAGTGTTTCTAATAACTATAGTTAGTAAAGATATTCAAAATATCGGTATGCAATAAAAGTGAATATTTACAAAATTATTCAGTATTTGGAGCTTTAATCGACTGGAAATAGTCCTGAACTTCTGAAAGGTTCAATCCCAACGAATTGGAAATTGTCACAGATAATCCAGGACTCAAATTGGCACATTTTTCAAAAATCTTATCGAGCTCTTCTTTTTGGAAATTGAGTTTTATGCATTTTCTTTTTGGATTGGGCTCATTGGTTTCGAATGTGGATGGTCTGGAAAAAAATCGATTCAAAAATAAATCAAATTGCAAAGCATTGAACTTGATTTACCGTATTTGCTGCAATAGGTGTCAATCTATAGCGTCACTTTGAGCTCAATTATCTCATTTTCCTATGAGAGATATCAAAAATCTGTCAAGTGGTAAAGTATTCATCATAATGTCACCAATATTTTATCAGTTGACATATTTCAGATGCCTCTTCCATGGGGAAAAATGAGATAATTGAGCTCAAAGTGACGCTATAGATTGACAC